AATAATAATAATAATAATAATAATAAACTGATAGAATACAAATAAGAAAACAAACAAAAAAAAATATATATATAATGTATTAAGTTCTTCTTTTGTATAGGTTTATTAACCTTTAAAGTGAGAGCCGGACCAATGAAAAAGGAGAAGATGTCATCACTAATCTCCTTGACGTTGATTAGTATTATCACCACCGTTATCAACATCAGTATCATTATTTTTATTATCATTATTATCATCATTCTCTTCACCGAGGATTTCCTGCAGAACGCGAACAGTGCGATCTTTGCTGGCACCATTAGTACTCTTTTCAGTTTCCAAAGCCGTCTTAATATCTAAATGCCCTGCGATGGCGCTACGTTCCTCTAAAGAAAGATGACGACCCTTTTGAGCGGCATCCTGCATGAAAGCCTTATATAAATGATAATTACTGGGAGTTCTCCACGAAACAGCTTCAATTATACGTGGTCGTCCACTTACAAGGGCGAGTTGTAAGGCCTTCTGCCAACTTTCATGCCAACGATCACGGAGTAGTGTAATAATATTTCTTTCCTCCTTTTCTAGAGAAAGCGGTAGATCTGTACCTGGTACAATATTTTTCTTATTCTTATTCTTCTTCTTCTTATCTTTTTCCTCCTCCCCCTTCTCTTTACATAAACTCCCTCTCTTCGTGACGCTTTCTTTTAACATTAGACAAGCGGCATCTGCCATTGCGGTGTCTCCTGTCACTCCACAACGTAAAAAGTGTCCGCACATCTGCGCTGTTGGCTCCACCGCATCTCCCACCGCAGCTCGCCACTTTGCCCACACATCAACACCCAATTCAGGATGTCCACCACTACATAAGGCGAAACAGGTTTGAGAAAAGATGTATCCATCTATAGCGGAAGGAGTAAGGGATTCAAATATTTGTAAGGCTTCACGCCAACGTTTTGCATTTGCAAGTAGTGTCATTATCCGTCCGAGTTCTTGAATCCCCACTGTAAAGGAAAAGGAAGAAGAGGATGAGGAAGTTTTTTTTGTATTCTGAGATTGATGTTTCTCCCATGTGTGGTTAGAGTTCATAAAGATACGCATCGCACCTTCCCAGGCCATACCTTTTGGTGCTTTTTCACATGCCAGTAATCCTTTACGTGCTGCATGAAGAGGTTCTGCAACTATACGTGGAATGGCCTCAAGTGCCAATTCCCAATTACAATTATCAATACAACGGTTTAAATCTCTCATATTATGTATGGGAGCTTCTTCTTTTCCATTCTTTAAATCCATTATTTTTCCTTGTTCCTCTTTTTTTCTATACTGAAGAGCAATAGTTGTACATGCTTCACGTAATCGTATTGTTCCCATGGATAATTTTTGAGCAGTATCCGCAAAAGGAGTAAAGAGATGCGGTTCTTGATTCACAAGACGTTGGATATTGGCAATAACAAGAGTAGGATCTGCTTTAAATCGAGGGAGTTGTCGAAATAAAATTGAAAGAGAACTTTCATCATAGTGTTGTGCAAGTGTAAGAATAAGTAGTAATCGCATTGCCTCACGTTCTGATACTGGTAAAAGAAACGCAATATCATCACAGTTAAATAAGGAGATCATTTCCTTTGTTTTTTCAGGATATGAAATTAATGATGATACTTGCGAGTCTCTTGAGTCAGGATTAAATGAAATAGGTTTCAACAGCATCGTTTTAACTTCTGAAAAATAATTATTTTCCCAAAGGGTCAGAATATACACTTCTACCAAAGCCGCTATTGTACGTTGTGCATTCTCATAAGCAGAATGAGAAAGTTCTGCAGTGACATCTGCGGTATCATCTCTTTTCATACAAGCCACATTTACATTATACTGAACACATAAAAATATTAATCCATCTTTTACTTTCCTTGACATTGATGCGTTCCTTGGTTGATGAAACTTGGTATTTAAGTCATTAAAAGTATTCCGTAGTAGTGTACTCAAACAATTAAGGAGTTTGCCTCGTTGTAGAGCACGAGCCAATGGAAGAAGAATTTGTGGGATTCGTAGTGAAACATCCATACAAGCAACACTTTCATACCAATCAAAGAGATCACGCACACGTTTTTGTTCACTACTACCTATCGTTTTATTTTTACTCATACCTCTGTTAAGATCCTCCAAATACCACTGTAGTGATAAAAAACATTGATGAGTACTATGTAAATGGCTAGGAGGCCAATATTGTACTTCTTGAATTCTATCCCAGGCCTGAAAAGCAAAAAGCCATCGAAATATTTCATCAAAAAAACGCCATCGCCATTCCATCAATAAAGTGATACGTGTTGAATTATCTATTATACCTGCAAAGAGTAACATAGCCATTGTACTGTTCACACTATTCCCGTTTATTCCTCTACTATTATTATAATTATTATCTTTCTTATTATCGATACAAATACTTTTATCACATATTGAATTTGATGCTAAAAAAGGTTTTGCAGGAAAAAAGAGAACTTCCATCAAGTCTCTTGCGATATCATTGCGGTGAAATAATCGACATCTTTCCAATGTACTAGAGCAAACTCTAAGAAGGTTTTCCCATAGAGTATAATGTCTATCTATATTACTTTCATGTACAAATTCCCAAATACCTTTCAAGAGCCACTCCCATCGTATAAATCGCTGCACCAACAAACGCTCAACATTCAATATCATGTTTAATTCGTTTGTAGTATAGTTTAAAAATATATTTTGTTCTTTTTTTGAGATATCAGAATTACTTTGTATCCAGCCAATATTTTTTGTATCTTTACTATAAATCTCTTTTTCACTAAGATTCCATAAAATTCCACACACAATAGAATCCCATTCTTTTGTGGATTCCAAAAATAAAGGTTTCTTTAACTTCATAAAAATAAATCCCTCACGCGTTGTATCTGTTAATGTAAGTAAGTTTGGAAGCCACCAACGCAAATGAAGTTGCATACGTATAGAGAGTGGTAAAAGAGTCTGAAGTCCGGTTTCTTTTTTTTTCACAATAATATTAGTTACAACTTCCACAAGTCGTTGCCACGCCTTAACATCACTACCATGGACTATCTCAACAAGGCTGATAAGTAGATAAATATAGAAATTCTCATTTACAAGAAGAGAGCTTTCAGTAACTTGCGGATTATCTTGACGCTTCTGCGATCCATAATTAAGAAATGGTGCGAGAATACGAGAAATATACCCCAATATTAATAATGGATGTTTTTCAGTTTGAAAATTATGTTTAATAACTTCCTTTACAATCGAAAGTAATTGTTGACCAACATTTTGGGAAATTTCTTTATTAGTATCAAAATTTACAGGAGTCTTCATTACATGTATTAGGAGGGATGAATTGGTCCTCACAATATCATACGAAACGATAGAATAGATAAATGGCCTTAAAAGAGAATGCTCTTGTAAACGTTTTAACAATACAAACCCAACTGTTGAATGTATAGTAGAGGAAGGAAAGGATACATTCTTCCTTTTCTTCTTTTTCTTTTCTTCTCCCTCTTCTTCTTTAAACTGGGTTTTATTATTTTCATCAAAAAAACACTGATAAACAGGTAACCCAGATAACACAGGTTTGCCATTTTTCAAACAACAATCCAATGGAATAGGGAATAAGTGTTCAAGTAAGAAGATAAAGGTATTGGGAAGAAACAATTCATGAGGTTTAGATTTAATAAAATTGTCTAGTAAAATATTTGCAACCTGTTGGAGACATTGGAAAGTACATTTATCGTCCGATAATAAAGGCATTACCCTTTGTAATTCCTCTTTTCCTCCCTCAAGGGAAATTAATAGTAAAACCGCATGCAAAGCAAGGTGTGGTCCTTTTTTAACTGGCAATTCTCCAGTGTCTTCTGAGGAAGGACTACATGCAAGGCATAATAACTTTAGAAATACTTCTTCAGCAGAATTATCTAACTTAAATTCTCCCTCTCGCAGTACTGACTTTTTCAAATTTAAAAATGTAATGTAGAATTTAATCCATAACTCAAAACACTTCAAAAGAGTTTTTTCACTCTTCTTCATACTATCAGTTTGTAGGGAAACCATGGATGCAAGATCAAGGGCTTCTTGTGCCTGTTCATCTACAAGAATAGCATACACGGCAAGTTTCATCATTAACATAGGTGGAGGTGCAAAGTTAAAGACAGTAGAACTCTTTCGCCAAAGCAGAAAAGCACTTTCTCCATGACCATAGTATAGAAATGTGCTAATTAATAACTCACACATAATAGAAGTAGAGCTAGAAGAATTAGTTAAAACTCCTGTTTCACTACTTTTTACTTGTGATAGTGTCTGTACGGATTCCGATATTGGTAATTTGAGGAAGTGTAAAGCCTCTTGCCATAGGTTCAATCGGGAAATCTGGTGTATCCAAGATAACAACTCTGTGGGAACATCCTTTGAATCCATTAAAGAGAATTGAAGTGACATTTCCTCTCGCGTTGATAAACCTTCAAAGGCTGTAGTTCTCATGCTTTTTGTAGTTGTTAGTTTACTCTTACTCGTGTATGGTCGATACCCACAGATGTTTTTATTTCTTACAGTAGAGAAGACTTGATCTTCTCGTCTAGAAAGAATAATCAGACATCTACGAACCGGAAGAAAAGCAACAACCATCAAAAAAAAAAAAGTGCCGCTTGAGAAAAATAATAAATAATAATAAAAAAAAAAAAAAAAAAAAAAAAAAAAAAAAAAAAAAACAGAGGAGATACATTGTTAAGGGGAAGGCAGAGAAGAGTATCAGAGAATTTTTATAAATAAAGGAAATAAATTGCACTAAAAACGAAAAAAAACAAAAAAAAAAAAAATGAAACACATGTCAAGAATCATCTCCTTCACTTTAAAGGAATTCCATAACTACATCTACATTTACATACAACTGAACGCGCAACTCATGCAACATCACAGAGGCTCCCTAAATAACACATGGGGAGGAAGTTCTGGTTAGCAAAACCAAAACAACAGAACGTAATACTAAAAATGTCTGATATAAGATGAGTAAACAAGAAGAAAAAGAGGTAATCTATAAGAACAGGAACAAAAACAACAAAAATAAATAATAATAATAATAATAATAATAATAATAATAATGATAATAAAAACAACAACGAAAGGAATGTACCGCAAAAATGCGAACAATCACAATTACATTCTTTCACAAGTTTTTTTTTTTGTTAATTTACCACTGCTTGACTAACATATACGTCGTGTTTTGTTCTGCTTATAGTATTCTTATTCTTTTCTTTTTCTTTACTTCTACAAGAAAGTTGGTATACTGAATCTAAAAACAGAGACACATATAGAGACACAGGCACAGAAATAGTGAGGAATAGGTAAAGAAAAAAAATTTTTTTTACTTAAATTTCACACGTTCCGGTGCCCTTATGGATGACAAAGCAGCTTCTTTTCCAATAGTTTGAGTCATATTTACCCTCTTGAACGTATCTAAAGACGGTACACCAGATTGTGTTAAATTCAAATTAGGTCCACGGAAAGGTTCAGCTGTAATTTTACCCGTTGTCCAGGGTGCATCCGTTGGCATAGACCATTTTGTTCTGGTGTGCCATGTACGGAATGGTCTTGCATGTTTTTTAACACCTCCCTCAAGCAATGGATCTGGAATCCACTCTATATCGTTAATAATACCACATGGCTTACCTGCATAAAATGCTCCTTGAGGTCGTTTTTTACGTTTTTCAGGTTCACCTTCTGGCATCCACGGAGGTCGATCTTCAGGTCTGTGGGTTAGTGGACCGGCCTTTAAGTGGTGAATACGACCACGATCAATCTTATCATTGTAGGGATCAGCTATCCACTCTGGAGCCTGACCAAAACCATCCACACGTCCTGCCCTCATACCACCGTCAACACCTCTAGCTGCACCTTTAGCACCAGGAACGGCGGCTTTCTCTTCCAGTGGATCTGGCATATATGGATACTCACCAAAGAGACCACGTTTTAATGGATTTTTCTTTGTAAATACTGCAGTCTTTACAGGACGTGCGAGACCTTTTGGTGGTCCTCCAGCCTCCAGATCAAGTGGAATATCTCCAAGTCCACCAATTTGAGTTCCACGTCCTTTTGCAAAGTCCATTCTATCTCCATCTGGGCGATCATTAAGACGAGTGGGTAAGATAGGTGCTGTAAACTCTCCTGCTCCCCAGTATTCGTACTGAAACTGTCCACCAGCACGAAGATCATGAAAGGGACAACTTTCTCGTTGCAAGTGATCCTTTTCACAATCATAAAGGTGATGCCAATTGGTCCAATGACGTCGACCATCCCAATTTTTAGGTCGGAGATTGTGAATTGTCTCAAAACGGCCTTCAGTCATTTTTCTGTATTAAAGTACTCTTTCTTCTTCCAAGTCCTACAACAAAAAAAAAAACCTTTTGGAACTTTCAGAAATGGGAACGCAAAGTTTCTTCGTAAGAGAAAAGAAGAAAATATAACAACTTTATTTTGTGAGAGATAAAAAAAAGAGGAAAAACAAAAGAAAACAGCCTTATTCTCAAACGTAAACAAAATGAACTATTGTCACTCTCTCCACAATAATAAAAGTAATATATATATATATATATTAAGAGAGACAACCTTTTCCAACAATACGATAACTAAATGTACAAAGCAAAAAGAGGGAATTCAATCAGAGCAATCCATATATATATAGCTCTCTTTTCCTTTTTCTTCTTCTTCACTTTATTTGAATCCCTTCCCTTCTTGTAAGAAGTGACCCACAATTGGCTGGCCCTCTGCTAAAGAAGGATATGAGGATTCATCACCACCTTTAATTTGTAATGATCCAAGTGATTGCTGATCCGCAGGAGCTGCCAGTGGTTGATAATTTTCAACTGTAACTCCAAATTTCTTTTCATACGCAAACTCTTCAAATTGATGAATATAACTTTGAAATACATCACCAATTACACCATCATGTAAGCCAAAATAAGGCATTTGAGCATCATGTAATGGACGAAAAGTATCTACGTATTCTGTTTGACCATCAATCATCTGCATTCGACGGTATCTATCGACCTCAATTCCAAAATACTGCAAGGTTTTTGTAGCTAATCGTGTTGTGTGACGTTTCACATCACGATTGGACCAATGTACCATTCGGGATTTATCAAAGTTAGCCAAATAATCTATACTATATTCAGTACCTGAACCGAAAATACCCAAAACTTTATCACCTATTGTCAGTAACTGAGAATCAGTTGGTGTTTTCCCACTGTAGATAGAATTGTGAATAGCTAATGAGGAGCAAAGTGACGGTAGGCATTGAGATAATGCTCGATGAACCCAAATAATCCTCATATCAGGAAATATTTCATGAATAGATTCAATACTCAGAAGGGCAAAAGGGGAAAAAATCAACCACTGTGTTCGTAATAATGAACTTTTCTCTCCATATTTTTGTTCCTCAATCGGATTATTTATTGGATTAATTTCCTGTAAAACATTTTCTGAAAAGTGTCCACAACGTTTATACCACTGAAATAATTGATATATTCGTTTTAGATTTCTATAAACCTCTGTTTGATCTTCTTGTAGACATTCCAAAAGATATCCATCTAATCCACAAAGAAGACCCCATGCATATGACTGTGGAGACATAAGTTGTAGACTGATATCATCATCAATCTGATTGGAATTAAGAACTCGTACACAACGAAAATCAGGAGATATTTGATTAAACCACCTAAACTGACGATAAAAAGCACTTTGTCGATCTATATCAAGAAGAAGCGAAGGTGATAACGTATCACACTGTTTTAAAGCCACGAAAAGTCCTGAACGAGACAAAACATGAGCTGCCTGATGCCCATTACTACGAGGCAAACCAATTATTATTATTGGTTCAATTACCTTTTCTTTCTCAATTTCGTGACCATTTAAACGAAAAACTTCATCTATAGCTAATCTTTCAGAGAGTGCCCATACGAGCCGTTGACGTAATAATGACCTTCCATACTTAGATGTAGAAGGTCTCTCACCACAAGCGAAACAAAGCTTTTTCCACCATTTAAAATCAGGTATTAGCTCCACAGAGGTTGGAATAGAGAGATTCGCCCTCTTACATGCATCGTTTAATACAGCATCCAAAAGAAACGATTCATCCGATAATTTACTTGTGAAACGATCAAGAACTCTACGATTAATAGGACCACCTGCTGAGATGTCCCTCACCCCAGACATAGTTTTTCGGAAAAACATCCCGAATAAAATCAGATAATCACAAGCAGAAAAATACCACTAATTCAGGGTAATAATAATAATAATGAAACTTTTTTTTTTTTTTTGAGGGGAAATTAAAAGACGATATTTTTTCTTCCTTTTTGTAAACGATGAGAACAGAGAAAAGAAAAAAAAAAAGTTTCACTTTTTCTTCTAAAAAACTATCACTATTTATAAAGCACAACTCTCTTTTCGCCATGTAAGGACCAAAGGTAACTCTTGTCTTTTTTTTTCCTTCTAAACGTCCTAAAGATTGCTCACTATCCACGGAAACCGAGCACTCAACAATAACAAATAAAAAAAAAAAAAAAAACATCACAAGAGACTTTGCTCGATTACTTTCACATGCTGAAACACAAAGACAAAACAAAATATAGCTTGACTGCGACAGTTTTTTTTTTTCTATGAGAAGCGTGCTTCATTATTAAATGATGGTGTTGCGGTTCTGTAATAATGTCTCTGAATTGAAAAGATAGTTGCGATAACCAAAGAAGCTCCGAGAACAAGTACCAATACTGTAGGGCCACGAGTATCATCGTAACGCATTGGCTCACGCATATATATTTTATTAGCACGGTCTCTGAATACAAACAAGGAATATACCATAAAAATGATAGAAACAGGAAGTAACACCAATCCAGCCAGTTCAGCAGCATTACTTGACGTATCACCAAAGTTTAAAAGTGTCAATGACATCATGCCAACCATCACTGAAATAGAAAGCCACTTCAGAAAAGTTCTCTCATTGGCAAAGAATGTTTTGGGATCAATTTTTTGAGGGACACAAATCCGCTTATCATTAACTGATCCTGTTAGGTTACGACCACCCGGTCCCTGTAAATCCTCGTAGACTGCGTCACCATCGGCCTCACCATCTGCCCAGGGTTTTGCAGACCCTGTAACACAGCAGATCATTGATAGCCCTTTTCCGAATGCATTTGACATACTTGCAATTTATCTGCAGGTAAAGGAGTTTTTTTTTTTTTTTTTTTTTTAAGAGACAAAAAAAAAACAAGAAAAAAAGAGACATATATAGATTGAAAAACATAAAGAAAAAAAACCACTCAATACACAATAAAAACAAACATAGAAGAGAGAAATTTCTTCGTTCATAAATACAATCGAGTCCATCGTAATATGTCCAACACAGGTATCATATATAACTTCACCTTATGGATATATAGATATGGTCAGGAGAAGAAAAATGAAAATGCTTAACCATCATGTCATACAAAAGCCACTACTTAAGAAACAATGCAAATTTGTAAAACACCTTTCCCCCCTTTCAAACCCTTACATGTTAAGGAGAAAACGAACCAATAATAATAATAATAATAATATTATTAATAATGAGTGAAGTACAAAGAAAAAATCACGTAAAATGACGAGAGTCACAAAACCTTCTACTAGGAGTAATAAATACAAAAAATCAAACAAATATGTAAAAAAGAAAGAAAACATATTCAGCAAATAAAACACATTCCGACTATTCTCCAAAAGACGATCTAACGGTACAGTATTGCCGATACCCAGCTAAACGCTATCCAAACATTGAAAATCAATTAAGAATGGAGAATCCTTTGAACCCCAATGTCACATGTAAGTCGTTTCATAAAGATAAAAAGATGTGCGAAACAACAAGAGCAATCCATATAACTTCACCCAAGTTAAAAGAACAATTTATACGCAAACCTTGACCCAAGGTGAAGCACATCTTACGTGCACAAACTTTTTTAGTGAAGAGAAGAAGCACCCCCCCCCCTAAAAAAAAAGTAAAAAAAAACATACAGGAAATAACCATGGTTATGTCGAATACACTACCTTCATTGATAAATAGCCTATTCTTTCTATTAATAAAAATTAAGAAGAGTTTGGGAAAGTTTTCATACATTTAAAACAAAAAATAAAAGTGAAGAATTTACTGTTCTAAAAAAAAAAAAAAAAAAAAAAAACATGTAATGAGCCATAAACACACAAACAAAAGAAGAAATAGGTAAATCGGTTCCACAAAAACATCTATCCGTTAAGTGCGTTCAATTAAAGCAAGGTATCAGTTAAACGCTTTACCATTGCCTTTGTTTCTGGATGATTCATCTTCGCTTCTCCAACAAATGATAACATACCCATAGAAAACACAGCAGCAACCTTCGTTCTCATAGCGTACCATTGACAGTTCACCAATCCCCCACTCGTCTGTGGACTACTAGAAAGAGGAATTCCTAAAGAAAAGGATTCCCAAAATCGTTCTTCTTCTGTTTTTGAAGAAGAAACATTATGATGTGCAATATTTTTATTTTCTAAATGCACTCCAGGATTAAACGAAGAGAAAACACGAGACTGTAGAAGTACGTTCCCAGAAGCTATTACAGTCCCAAGATTTTCCATACGCTCTGCGTAATAACAGGTGGTGTCAACAAATTCAGCAACGTTTTTGATTGCAAATGGTACGTTAGCAGGATTCCATTCTAGAGCTACTGCTTCTGGCCAATGATGAACATATGGCAATAATGTATTAAACTTTGTCAACATTGCTTCTTCAACTACTTTTTTAACATCTGGAGGTTTATAATATCCCATTCGGTAAAGTTCTTTATTTTCAACAATTGAACTAAATATAGCACTCTTGTTAAAACATTTTTCCAGTCTCTGATGAGTAACTTTATTTGAATTATCTACAATATACTCAACAACAGCTATTGGAAAACCTCTTGGAAATAGTTGAACAAAATTCAAATTAGCCATATTTTCTTTATTATCATACTCACCTTTTGCTTTTAAAACATCAAGTGTCGAAGGGAGCAAATTCGCCTCAACAAATCCATATTTAGGGACTAATTTTACAGCCTCCTCCAAAATCTTAGCCTTTATTGTACTCATTTTTGGGCGGAATATCCCGCCGTTGGTCCTAAGAAAAAAAAAAAAAAAAAGAACCAAGAAGCTCATAGGAAAAATGGAAAGCAAAAACAAAAAAAAGACGACAATGAAATACAAGTCCAAAAACAAATAACAAAGGAAAAAAAAAAGAAAAACGGTACCACTCTGGAGGAACAAACCTCCCAATCACAAACTTCGAAAACAAAACCAATGGCAACGACGGAGTCCCCACCTTTCCCCGCCCGCCGGCGCCCGAAGGAATCGCCCGAGGAGGAGGAGGAGGAGGAGGAGGGAAAAATCAGGGGATTCGGGCTGGCCGGGGACCCCGCCCCGCAAAAAAAAAAAAAAAAAAAAAACGGACCCTCCACCCCCCGGGCCACGCCTTTCCCGGGGAACTGGCCCGCCAGAGCCGGGGGCCGCCTCCCTTCCCCCCTTTCTCGGAGGCCCCTCGCCGGCGCCGCGCCCCAAACCAACCCTAACGCCCGGCAGCCTCCCACCCTGCCTGCCCACGTTTCTTTTCTTTTGTTTCACCACCTTTGGTGCGCATTTTTATTCTTTGGGGATGTCGTTGGCGGTTTTCGGTGCGGCTCTTTTTTTTTTTTTTAAAGTGGTTTTTTTTTTTCCGGATGTCATTTCCTTCGTTTTGGTTTTTGCACGTTTTTTATTTTATTTTTTTCTGACGAAGAGAAATTGGACGTTTACTGCTTTTGTTGCCTTCTGAATTTTTTCTTTTCTCGATTTTACAGAGTCCAGAGTTTTTTTTTGTTTTTTTCTCCCTTAAGATGTGATTATTCTTTTTTTTTTTTGCGGTGTTTTTATTGTTAATTATATATATATATATATATATTTCGTTCTTCTTTCTCTCTCTTTTTTTAATTTTTTATTTATCTATTATCTTACAATTTTTTTTTTTTGTACATACGTATCTATGTATTTATTTCCTTTTGGTATAGTTTTACAAGCAGTCTATCATTGTGCGTAGTAATTCTTGGTCAAGTATACCTAAAACATAATTCTCATAAAAATGGAGAGCGTGGAAGCAGCAGGACAGTTAGAACAACGCAATTCGTCGACTGATATAATAATTGAAGAATTAAAGGAATTGGCTAAGTCTATGTTAGAAACAACGGAAGCTGTTCGACGGAGGACTCATAATGGAGAAGGTGTAAAGTCCTATCAGGCCCTTTTAAACTCGCTTGAATCTTCAGCAGTTGTGTCAAAACAAAATGTTGATATAAAGGTACATTCTAATTACCATGATCCTATTCATGGATTTTCTTTATCGGGTAAGCCTGAAAAAGAGTTTATTTCTTCTATTGATGCCTTAGGGTATCCTATTCCCGGTGGATATCACGAAACGAAGAGATCCAGCATGGAACAAAGTCCATCTTGTAATGTTGATTTAGAAAATATAGAAGAAACCTTTACAGAAGATGGTGTTGAAAGTTATGATAATAATGCTGTTCTTGCTGAAAATGTTTTTAACTTACAGCAAGAGAAAGTAATATCAAATAATCATATACCCACTGTAGATTGTTCTGCAGATTCTGATGATAACATATACGATGGTGTTAAAACACAAGTGGTTTTTAAAGCGGTTGACCCTGTTCTTTATCAAGAAATAAGTAGTTGTACTTGGCAACCTGAACCATTACGTCTACGAGTTGATACCGGAGAAACTGTTGAAGATTCTAGTGAAGAAGAAGAAGCAGATGATGACGGTGTAGAGGGTGGTGCTAATTATGAAATCAAGAAAGTTTTTCGTGTTCCATCTTTTCCTTTTGGTGGTGGTGTTGGAGATGAAGAAGCACGTTTATTGGGAAAAATGTTCAGTGATACTATTCGTCGAGGTGGACTTTCTGCTTCAATAAAACCTTTACACATAACAAAAAAACAATTGGTAAATTATGAGTATGAAGAATCTTTTACAACAAAGGAACAACGTTTTTCTTTTAAACCAACTTCACCTTTCGAATTTGTGGTTGAATTAGAGAGAGATGCAGTATTTGATGCAGTTCGAGCACGTGAAGAACGTCGTCGTGAATTTCGTCGTTTGGCAAAAGAAGGGAAAGCTCCTGTTACTATGGGATCATTTAATCTTCGTGTAATAATGGACCCATTAAAAACTGGATTTGAAGAAGAAAAAAATTTCCCTATTGAGCGTGGTACAATTGTTGCGGATCGCTATCAAATTATAGAGTTATTAGGAAAAGCTACATTTAGTCGAGCTGTTCGCTGTTACGACTTACATCAACCTATTTATGATGATGATAATGATGATGAAAATGAAAATACTTCTATGGCTAATACTACAAATAAGAATGATGTTGAGGGTAATGAATCAAATACGACAGAAAAGAAAAAGAAAAAGATTGCAGGTTATGCTGAAGTATGTTTAAAAATCATCAATAATTCAAAGGACTTTTTTGATCAGTCTTTGGATGAAATTCGTTTATTAAATTTGATTAATAAATACAAGGACCCTGATAAGGCACACGTAATTCGCCTCATTGATTCTTTTTATTACAAGGAGCATACAATGTTAGTTACTGAGTTGCTCTCTGATAACCTTTACGAATATTCAAAATATAATCGGGAAGAAGAAGATACATTTTATTTTACTATTTCTCGTCTTCGTCGTATTGCTCGTCAAATTACTGAGGCTTTAACATACGTTCATAGTCTTAATCTTATTCACGCAGATCTAAAACCAGAAAATATATTATTTGTTTCTCATCGACGATGCATAGTAAAGGTTATTGATTTTGGTAGCAGCTGTTTTTTAAGTGACCATTTAAGTTCTTATATACAGAGCAGGAGTTATCGCGCCCCAGAAGTAATTTTGGGTTGTGACTATGATGGAAGGATTGATGTTTGGTCACTTGGAGCTATTTTAGTTGAACTTGTAACAGGTGAAGTTCTTTTTACTTCTGAGACTGTTCCAGAAATGTTGGCACGAATTGTTTATGTATGTGGAGAACCGCTTCCACGAAGAATGTTATGGGAGGGTCGACATACTGCTAAGTTTATAAACAAATTTGGTTGTATATACGAACAGGGTAATAAAGACGGTGATGATGCCGGGGAAGATTCTTCTTATTACTATCTGTATACACCTGTGATGCAGACTATGGATGCGAAACGTACTGAAGAAAAGAATACTGAAAATAATGAAAAGATTTGTAATGGAGAGGAAAAAACAAAAGAATCCCCTGATGAGGGGCCATATTCAGTACTTAGAAAGAAATTAGCAGCTCACAATGTTACAGATCCTGCGTTTATTTCCTTTGTGGAGGCATGTCTAACTCTTGATCACAAAAAACGACCTAGAAGCAAAGATCTTCTTTCCCATCCTTTTCTTGCGGAATCTGATTGATCTTTCTCATATATTTCTATTTACGTATATATCAGTGACGTATTGGAGATTAGTATAAGGGAAAGCCTTCCCACAGAAATAAAGAAAGAAAGAAAGAAAAAAAAAAAGAAGCAGGTGAATGAGGTGAGAACACGGAGACTGTTCTACAGGAGTTGCATAAATGAAAGAAAATATAATACAAAAGAAGAAGAAAAGAATTCATTTTGTGATCTTATTCTCATATTCCCTTTTTGCTTCCCTCCTTTTACTTGCTCTTTTACCGTTGTGGATTGCATGTTTTTTTTTTTTTTTTTATCTATTCAAGAAAGATACTTTGGCCCCTTTCTCTTCCTTCCTCTTGTATGTAATACTTCTATTACATAGAAAAAAAAGAGGTATTGTACCACGTATGAAATTCACTTATTAACGTGGAAAAAAGATCAAGGGAAGAATAGAAGGTTCTGTGACCATCACTCTAATTTGTGTGCTGTCATTGCAATGGTGTTTTTTTTTCCCCTTCAATGTGCTAAACTGTTGTTCCTGACAGCTTTTTGGGGGGCGTATAGAATTAGTAATACATCTGTAAGCAGAATGAAAATGTAATTGGGGGTGGAGTGGGGTGATTTTTTTTTTTTTTTTACTGGAAAGGGTTTCCTTGTTTTTCGTTTAATTTATATATATATATATATATGAGATTTTTTTTTCAAAGTCTCGTGGCATTTTTGTGACTTATTTATATATATATGTTTTTTTTTTTTTTGCTTTCCTTTGTTCTTTTTTTTTCGTTTATTAGGGCGGAAAGAGAAATAGGAATACCTTTATTATATTATTTGCTTGGTTGTGTTTCTCTCTCTCTGTGTGTGTTGGGAGGTGCTTATTTCAAAGGTTGTCTGTATATTATGCGACGCTTGTTTATTCTATTTGTGTTACTCCTTTGTGCCCATGTGGTTGACTCTGTTAAAAATGGTTTCGTTGATGATTCTCCACGAAAACATTATTATCGGCATAAAGGAACCGAAGAAAGTCGAGAAAGTATATTGAAAAAATATACCGGTCATATTGCGTGGATGAATTGGAGACAATTAGTTCGTACTGTCACTGTAGCACAGTGTACTTTGCTAGAACATGATGCTTCTTCTATTCTTCCTAGAGATAACTCTAATGAAATGAAGAAGAAGAGTCAAGGAATTAAATTCTTAACAACTGCTCGATCAGCCTCACCTAGTCCTATTTGTCACTTACCTATCTTTCTTTTTTTTCACCGAAATGATTGTCCTGCATGCAAGTCGCTAGTACAAGAATTGGGTAAAAGTGCAGAATTTGAGCTTTTGAGTGAATACATGACGATGGTGGCTACAGAGACTATGGAGGATATGACTGAGTATTATCCATATCCTAAACCTCACGTTTATAGAGATGTTGGTCGTACTCATGGGATGCGTAAAAAAACGAGAATGAGAAAGGAAGAGTCTGATGCTATTAAACAAGCTTTTGCGGGACAAGGGGAATATTTTCCTCGGATATATTTCTTATTTCCTCAAAACGGAACTCTTATGCCTATTGTTAATAGCGCTATGGATGCTGATCCGGGGCATTTGAATTTTTATCACGAACCGTCATCTCTTATTGAAAGTATGATGCTTGCTTTACAAATGATGAACGGAGCGGTGAGCTTTGCAGACCTCTGATCCTTATTATTATTTTCTTGTTAAGATTAAACGCATTTTTTTTATTTATTTAATTGGATATTTGAGTCATTGTGTGTGTTTCCCCAATTAGCAGAGTAATCCTTTTTTTTGTTTTTCTTTTATTTTTTTTTTTTTTATGATCCTGGTTTTAATACAAGAATTTACTTCAACAAGTAAACGAGGATTATAATAACGAAGTGCAAAAAAAAAAAAAAAACACCAGCGGCGATAACCTTGGTCAAGTACAGCTACATTATCAGTAACTGTACTTTGTTCTAGCATACATAAGCACAAAGAGAGAGATAGAGTGTGGGATAAAAAAGGAAAAAAAAAAAAAAAAACGTTTTACCGAATGGCAGCATCAGACGAATTAAAGGACGCTTCTACAGCTATACCTATTAATGAGGTTGGGGATAATGAAATTGCTGCTTTTATGCGCTACTTTGTCAGTAGCCTTCTGCCGTACGCTATTGTATTTGGATCAGTAATGCTAAAGGTTCCTCAGATTATAAAAGTTCTGCAGCACCAAAGTGCAGAAGGTATTTCTCTCTCATCGCTCTGCTTTGAGTTAACTTCATGTGTGATAACAACAAGCTGGGGTATTGCACAGTCTATGCACCTAAAAGATTTTGGAGAAAATATGTTTATTATGCTAGAGATGGCTTTACTTTTAATTTTGGTTGGATACTTTCAAGGGAAATTATCAGTTGCCTTATCTGCGTTTATTGCTGAAACGATGGTATTGATTGCTTTGTCTGCCGGAGTTCTCTCCCATGATTTTCATGAATGGCTTCTAAGCATACAAATACTTTTTGGTTTAAGCAGCCGTGTTCCTCAGATTATAATGAATCACAAAAATCAATCTACAGGACATCTCTCATTTTTAACTTTTTATTTGGCTTTGGTTGGAGGTTTATCAAGACTCTTAACGACATTCCACAATGTCTCCGCAGAACAGGGCAGAAATGTACTGCTAACACAGTTTGGAGTCTCTGTAGCACTTAATACTCTGATTATTTTACAAATTTTGATTTATAAAAAGAATACTGAAGAAAAGTTGAAGCTTGCAAAGAAAAAGGGATCTGTAAGTGATGGTAAGAAACATCAGTAATTTCAAAAGAAGAAAAAAAAAAATAAAAAGAAAAAAAACGTTCAAAAAAAAAATATATATATATATATATATTTTGAGGATCTTGTTCTTAGTGTTCTTGTTGTTGTTGGTGGTGCGGATACATGGTTATAACAAATAATCTTATTTATCGAGAGGGAAGCTTCACTCTGCATCCTACAAATGATGGCTACTAACACCGTCATTTCAAACCCCCTCCTTGGTTTATGTAAGTGAAACTTGGTAATAACCATACAATTCATTACACATTTCAAACACAAGGGGACATGTACAGGTGATTACACCTGTACAATATTTTCTTTTTGTCTTGTTGCTTCTGTGGATTTTAGGATTTTTAGTTTGGTACTGATAAGTTTTTTTTTTTCTTTATTTCTTAATGAATCATGTATTTTTTTTTTTTTTTATTTTCTTTCATCAAAAAGAAAATAGACAAAGTATAGGAACTGAAAGAGATTTTTCAATATCGTATGTAAGTGTATGGTGATTTCATCTCCACTTTTTTTTGCTTTTCAAAGACAATTATTAACGTTTCACAAAAATGTAATACGAACAGTAATAAGGTGTTATCTGTATCTACAACTGAATTACTTTGCAAACGCATGTGTTCATGGAAGTCAGCCTTAACCTGCTATGAGTTTTTTCGTAAGCGTCACTTACCCATTGCGGACGAGGCTATTATGTCTATTTATCTTAGATTCTACGACCAAGGTGACGATTCAAAGGTTAATATCCAATTTTCTTCTGATATGCCGAACATTTTTCCATTTATGGGAGATGAAAAAATGCCCAAGATTAAAGTGAATAATTTATTTTTGAATGACTGTAATAATTTCTCTTGTAATGACCTTTCACAAAAAGAATTAAATGCCTTAAAGTTTTTTCTTCACAGCACACAATATCAACCAACGCTACGACCATTATACCATAGACTTCGTTTTATTCTTCAGAGTATGAGTCGAGAAGAAGAGTTTAGATCAGGGGTGAAGAGAAGCGTTGACTCTAGTTCAAATGATGTACAAGAATTACAGTCTGTTGTATCAGTTGCATTACCTGTTCTTTCTGCACCTTCATCAATTATTAATATTTCTCTGCACCACAACCTCCGAAAGGGTCGGTGGATAGATGCGTTACGAACCATCCATAATATACAGCAATATGGACTGTTAGAACCATATTTAAAAGAACTTTCCAAGGTACAATCTTGGAGTGGTACATCCGAGTTACTAGCCACTGTTAGTCAGGATGTGTGCTATCGGGCATGTGTTGAATTTCCTTCTCTTCTCTCTTTGATGGATACATTGATACAACAGTGGGAAACGTACTGGAGTGCAATGAAAGGTTCGACAATGGATAGAAACTTGGTTGGAGATAAACTTCTCCCCTCTGAGACATCCTTCTCTTTTACTGATATTCTCCCTGATTCTTCTTTTACTACACCTACATCTACATCTGCAGCTCTTGCTCCTGGTGCTGTTGTTGATAGTAATGATGATGGTAATAGAAGTGTCAATATAGAAGGTATTTCAGACAGCGTAGACAAGGATTCTGAGACTAAGTTTAGTGAAATGGAAGCCACGGGAAATTTCTTTCTCAGGAGGTCAGAGTTAGAGGAAAGTAGTTTGGAAGTTTTGCGTTTCGCTAGTTTCAATACTTTTTTTGGTGTATCTGAAAATGATATGAAAGTTTATGAGGAACAGGAAGTGTGTCATCGCCTTATGGAGGTTACTACCCGAGTAGCGGATTTTTCGTTTTGTTGTCGTCTTGCCGATGCGTGGTCGATTTCTTGTAATCACAACATATCAGGTAAAAGTCGAGTTTTTATCCCTTCTAGTGTGACGAAAGAACTATTACTTACACGTTTACTTTTAAGAGCACCATCATGTGAAATCATTTTGAGTATCTTGAACAGATGGCCGCAGTTTTCTTCAACTACATTGATGAGTCACTTAAAAACTGATTCAATAGATAATGATATCGTGGTAACGACGTTACGTTGTCCAGAGGTTGTTTCGGCTTTAGCTTATCGGTTAACCCCTTCGATTTTTTTTGAAGAAATTGTAGAAAAATATCTACAACGTTCTGAGATTCTCCTTTGTAAGGAAGTTCGAGATATAGTGAGAGATACTCTAAAGAGAGGAGAGTTTTATGATGCAGCTGAAAAGTTTTGTATGCGTCAAACCCAACTAGAGATGGTTGCATTATGTCACTCAAATGAGATAGTACACATGAGGAAAAGTTTTGGTCAACTTGTGGAGGAATATCTATCACAGCAGTTTTCTTTCTGCAAGAAAGTACAATTATTTTCTGATCTCTTTCAACATGTGAAGGAGACGGAATATGTGTTTATTATTAATGCCTTGCTTAACACAGTGGACAAAGAAAATATTGGGAATACTTGTTATACCACTGTAAATTCAAGTAGATTGTCTATAATCGTTCAACTTATTTGTAAATGGATTTCTGAAGATCATCGCCCTGGGGATGCGACTGTAATACTTTACCATGTTCTTAATGTGATTGAGGATAAAAACATAGAATTATGTGGGGTAGAAGAAGAAAATTTAAAGGAAAAGAGTCTCCCTTCATCACTGCAAAACCTTTTTGATATTGATGATGTTGTTAATCCATTCTTTGAGTCTGTTTCGCGACTTGGATTTCTTCTGGGTAATGTATCACCTAAAGAAGAAAAGTTTACCATTGCACTACAGTGGTTAAAACTTTTGTCAATGTTGCCAACAAAACACTTTGATGAGACTACTATTGTTGTTTGGCTATTTTGGACGATGCGGGCAGTAGTACAATATGAGGAAGAAGAAGAAAAGAATAGACAAGAACAACAATGTTTACAAATCTACACTTCAAACACAAAAACGATTCAAACAGAAGTCATAAAGGCAGTTTGCAACCTTTCTCATTCTCTAGAGAAATGTGAAACGACTGCAATTCTCCCACCTATGCTTCTGAACTGGCTGGTATCACACGCCGATATGCCTTGGGGTGATGCAACAGCGCTGCTTACTCGTCACGCTGGTATCAAGACATCTCAAAAACAACGTTTTGTTTTTATTCGTCTTCCATTAGGAAACGCAGCCTTTGATACATTTACGAACCCGCATATAAAAAAACATGTGCTATTATTATTAGAAAGCGAACTCCAAAGCAATAAGTTATCTAGAAGCAGCACTAATTGGTACCTTGTCTTCAAAGAAGATCTTGATCTTAAAAAGAGAGTAAAACATCTTTTTACAGCTATACGATTCACAATTCTAAACGCCTGGTATTATCGCATTCTAAATACCCATTTCTCCATAGAGTCAAACACAGATGATGTGAATGGTAATAGTTTTGTCCCCTATACTACAACTATTTCGCTGCGTAAACAGAGATCTCTTGGACAAGTAAAACGAAAGGTAAACCACGACAACATTATATACTCATTACATGAAGCGCTAGAATCCCTATGGAAACAGAACTCCTTCAAAAAAGAAAAGAAATATACATAACCATGCAATTTTTATTTTTCAGTATCCTTTTCACATACAAAGATAATGAAACAAGAAAAAAAAAAATAAAAGCAGATATTATCACATTCTATCTTACAAACAAGAACTCCTCTCATCCAAACTACTATAAAATGACTAATAAACCCATTTTTTTTTTTTAACTCAAACATAGATATTTCTTTAACTGGGGGTGAATAACGAAAAAGAGTAGACATAAGAGAAATTACAACGAAACCCACTCCTAGTAAAATAATATCAGCATCTTAATAAAACAAAAAGAAAAGGATGCAAAAAATAAGTGAAAGTAAAGATTCCGTTAAAGTCTCTGTGCGAGTGAGGCCACTTAATGCACGAGAGGGTAGTGATAGTTGCTCAGTGGTGGTTAGGGCGAACCAGCAGAGCAGTCAGGTGAGAATTAGTTCACACGCAGCCAACAAAGACCAAAAGAGTGCCGTAAATACGTTTCAGTTTGATAATGTTTTTTGGTCCCTTGAAACCCCTGACGAGTCTGGTGGCCGTCCTGCCGGGCAGCTGGAGGTGTACGAGGCGATAGGACGACCGCTTGTGCGCCACGCTTTCAATGGATTCAACTCATGCCTATTTGCATACGGGCAGACTGGCAGTGGGAAGACATACACGATGATGGGTGGTGACACGACATCACTTGGTGGTGTGGACGCTGGCGTAACGCCACGACTGTGTCTGGAGCTTTTTCAGACGCGTGAGCAAATCGAGGCGGAGGGCCACTCAAAGTGGACGGTGGAGGTTGGATACATCGAGGTGTACAATGAGCGGGTGTCGGACCTGCTTGCGAAGCGCAAGAAGGGCTCAAAGGAGGAGGTGTTTGTGGAGGTGCGTGAGCACCCGACGAGGGGTGTGTTCATTGAGGGTCAACGGTTCTGCGAGGTGTCGTGCCTGGGGGACGTTGTTGAGCTGATTGAGGCGGGAAACCGCGTGCGCCACACAGCGGCTACTAAGATGAATGACCGCAGCAGTCGCAGCCACGCGATTTTCATGCTAATGCTGCGCGAAGAGCGGTCGATGGTGACTGCAACGGGGCAGACGATCACTACAGCTGGCAAGAACAGTCGGATGAATCTTGTAGACCTCGCCGGGTCAGAGCGCGTCGCGCAGTCTGAGGTTGTTGGACAGCAGTTTAGCGAGGCGCGGTACATCAACCTCTCGCTGACGACGCTTGGGCGTGTGATTGACATGCTAGCCGATATGGCAAAAAACGCGGACAGCCAGTGGTCGATGCCACCGTACCGTGAGTCTAAGCTGACGTTTATTCTGAAGGATTCGCTTGGTGGCAATTCGAAAACATTCATGATTGCGACGATCAGCCCGAGCGTGATGAACTATGAAGAGACACTGAGCACATTGCGCTATGCTTCCCGAGCGCGTGACATTGTCAATGTGACGAAGGTGAACGAGGACCCGCGTGCACGGCGCATCCGCGAGTTGGAGGAGCAGATGGAACAGATGCGACGGGATATTCAGGGTAAGGACCCTGCGTATGTGGCGGAGCTGGAGGAGAAGCTTGTGCTCCTGGAGGCAGAGGCCCAGAAGCGTGCTGCGGATCTCCAGGCTCTGGAGAAGGAGCGCGAGAAGAACGAGATCCGTGAGAAGATGCTGCGTGCGACGGAAGCAGAGCGCCAGGAGTTGCTGGGAAAGGCTAGTGAACTCGAGCGGCAGGTGGATGAGTCGCGAAGGCAAGCGGAGTACTACGAGCAGATGAACCAGCGGCTGAAGGAGGAGCATGCCCAACGTGAACGTGAGCTTCTGGAGCAAGTGAAGAAGCATGAAGCCGAGATGGAGAGCGTTCGGCGGCGAAAGGATGCTGAATTGGTGAGCGGGCAGGAGCAATTACGCAAGACGATGCAGGATCTCGAGCGTGAGCGGTCGCAGCGCGAAGATGCGTTGCGTATACTCAGTGAGCAGCAGGCACAGCTGAGCGCGGCGTTGAGTGACTCGCGGCAATCAGAAGAGCAGCGTGCAGAGCTGCAGCGTCAGAACGCGGAGCTTTCTGAGCGTATGAGGCAGCTTGAGTCGGAACGCGAGACACAGCAGCGCTTATTGCACGATCTGGAGCGGTTTCGCGACGAGTGTGACGCCCTGGAGCAGGCTGTAACATTGCTACGCACCGAATTAATGGAGATGGAGGCACGCTACAAGGAGACGGTATTCTACCAGGATTCGGTATTGGACCTATGGATCGAGTGCGTAAATGGGATAGTGGGGCGCCTCGCCGTAGAACACGAAAATGAATTAAACCACAACGCGCAGAGCTACGCTGACGATCGCGCCAAGGCAGAGTGCAGGTGGGATGCAGAGCTTAAAGAGCAACATGCTGCCCTTTCTAGTGCCCACGAAGCATTGACCGAACTGCAGCAACGACTAGATCAATCCACAACTGATCAGCAGCATCTGCACAAGGAACTTGACGCCCTTAAACGACATAACAAGGCACTCTTGGAAGAGCAACAAGCAATGGAGCAGGCGAAGGC